TTACACACGTTCCAAACTCGTTTTAATAAAAAACGTTTCTGGTTACAGAAGACATGCACACTCATTTTGAGTACAAAGTCCCAAGTTGGACGTAGAAAGCGAACAGTGTCCCCTGGAATTAGGTCCCCAGAGCTAGCCTCTGTTGGCATCCCCGACACGCAGTCACACGTGGGCGGTGCGGCCGGCCTGTGCAGTACCCCATCCTTCTCACGAGGTGCCTGGCTTCTTTCCGTGAACCCGCCCACGCCTCCACGGCCCGGCAGTCAGGTGCTTAGGCTTTGAGTCCTACGGAACGTGGCTGCGGGCTTCTCAGGTCCCTGAGCAAGGTTTCCTTCCCTGTCACGCGGGGGAGGGACAGCTCGTGCCTCGTGGCGGTGTCCCGAGACTGAGGTCGTGCGCCACGAGTCCCTCCAGGGCCAGCTTCATTGAAGTCGATTTTATCTCATTCGTGATAGAGTGTGAGCGTGTGCACGCCGGGGAGAGAGAGGGAGAGAGGGGAGAGGAGAGAGACACCCTTGACAGGGTCTGGTCCGCCGGGACCCCCTTCCCCCCTTCTCCGGCCGGTCAGTGTCTTGGGCACATGTGCATGTCCAGCGTGTTCCAGATCCGAACCCGCGGTCGGCCATGTGACTTCCAGCACTGCAGTTTGGCATGCCACTGAGCACCTGCGGACAGCCCCCGAGGAGGGTGGTTCCATCCTGATACCCTCACCCTTTCCCAGTCGCGTGGGGTTAGGACGGGACCCGTCTGTTACCCGCTGCCACCTTTGTTACCAGCGCCAACTCGGGAGCACGACGCATGTCGTTTCAGGAGGCGTGTTTCCTCGTGCCTTCCCTGCCACGGGGTCACCGGGTCCTCGGGTTCTAATCTGCATCGTCTTGCTTCCCCAGGAGGACGTGGTGGTGCCCCAGGGGGCGAAGCTCGTGTGTTACGTAGGTTTTACGTTTTATTGTTGCCTTCCCTCCTTTTCTGAGGCATGGCTGGTGGGAGGCGCGGCCACCAGAGAGGCCATCCTCTCCCCTCGCCAGCCCTCCTCGGGGTCCCCTAGGACTCTCCTCTCCCTGAGATGGTGGATCTCAGGCTTCCAGTTTCTCCCAAACCTTGAACCTGACCACCCCACGTTAATTCATTCAAGGACTGATTTTCAGACTCACCTGCTTTCAAAACCATTCCTTCTAGTTTGCAGTAAATTAAAAGAATCAAAACTTACTTAAAAATGGGGTAAAAGCCTAAAAAAGGCAAGAAAAGGGGAAGGAGAGGGGGAGATCTTGTTATGATAACTCCTCACCCCTCACTCTCTACCAATCCTAAAAAGGTTTCAAAATTAACCCTGAGCTTCCTGGAAGCCATAGCAAAAAGGGGAGCCGGATAGATTCTGTAGCTCTCTAGGAGACCAAAGTCTCCTCTGCACCTGGAAATGGCCATGAGGGGGCAGTAGAGGGATGACTACTGGCCACACAGGAGGGGTGATGGCTGCATGCTGTCCAGGGGAGGGGCAAGAGCAACCCGGCCACCCTACAGGGATGTGGAGAGCTCGGGCAGGAGCAGGTGCAGTCAGAGCGGGCCTGTCCTCCTGACGAGGCATCTGTGGTTGGGGGTGGCCAGGCCCTGGGCCAGGGTCAGCTAATGCTGCATGTGGCGGGGGTTCTAAGGGAAGGAAGTGAGAGGGCAGGGCTGCAGGCAGAAGCCGGCCGGGCAGTGGGCATCACTAGGCCCCACTGTGTGCCTGCCGGCCTCGTCCCAGCCCTGGACATGCAGCAGGCGCTGAGGCAGGTGCGTCTCTGTCCCCGTGGAGCTCAGTCCGGGGGCGGGGGGCACCTGGGAAGGGTGGCCCCTCATGTGCTCCCCTCCTCCCCCAGCTCCATGGCGACGCAGGGATCCAGCTCCTGGGCGCCGTCAGCCACACCCAGGCAGGGGGGCAGTCACTGCCCAAACTGGAGGCCCTGGAAAACCTGATGGAGGCCGCCTCGCCCTCTGCCGCCCAGAGGCTGCGGAGGAGGAAACGGCGCGCAGCGCAGAGCCCTGCCGGGCGCCAGGTACGAGCGAGGCTGCTTTCACTCGTCGTTTGTTTGTTTTTAATGGAAGAGAAACTTCCAGTGGGGCGTCCTCCAGCCTCCGGGCGAGCGGGGACCACAGGCCTGCGTGCTAGGTTGACCTGGGGGCTGAACTCAGGCCTCTCGGGACCCTGCATCGCGCAGTGCCCTGCCCCTGTGCCCCCGTGGCTGCCAGAGCAGGCTTCTTTACCTGGGCGAGGTGGCCCAGTCTCACAGGTGCCTTCACACCTGAGCCGCAGGGGTGGCACCGGGGTGCAGCGTGTGCAGGGTCACCCCGAGGCGGCGGCCAGGCCCTGCATTCCCTCCGCTGCAAGCTGCATCTGCCCCTGAGCTGCGGGACATGGTGCCGGGCCTCCGTGCGGTGGAGAGGCGTGACGCTGGCCTTGGTTCCCGGCCCACCGGCGTGTCCTGCTGCCCCAAAGCTCTTCCGGCCACCGCTCTCGGGAGGGACAGTGTGGGACGCCGGTGGCCTGTTGGGCCCTGTCTGCTCTCTGGGCAGCCATTCCCTGCCCTCAGTACCACCGAGCTCCGCGTCCAGGGCCCTATCCCCGGCCTCCCTCACTGGAGCATGCGTCTGGGAGAGGGCGGGAGTGGGGAGGTGACGGTGACCGGAAGCAGTGTCCCCCACCCGAGCAGGAAGGCATAGCCCAGTGCTCAGCCTCGCCCTCCCCCTCCCACCCAGTATGGCCTGCTGGAGGCTGAAGAGGAGACTTTCCGGGAGGAGGCGGAGGTCTCAGGTGAGGGCACGGGGTGGGGGTGCCCCTCCCATGCCTCCCGCCTTCCTGGGGGCAGTGGGCAGCTCCTGGTGTAGCCTCCTCTTTTCTGCCCTCTACATCAGCCCCATGTCTGTGACTCTCCAGCCACAGCTCAGCCTCCACCCCACCAGCAGCCGCCCCTGGGTGTCGGGGTGCGGGGCACCGTGGTCTCTGCCATGCAGGAGGTGCTGCGCAGTCGGTAAGGCCCAGCTCCCATTCCCGGGACATCCTGGCGGCCGTCCTCCCACCTCCCAGGGCTGGCTTTCCTGGAGGGCTCTGTGCATTCGGCCGGCCATCAGGCCTCTCTGAGGTCAGCTGCCCACGCCAAGGGCTGGCCGAGCCGGCGCTGGAGCCCGGCCTCCCAGCTGCAGAGCTGTGTTCTCATCAAGCCACTGCGGCCCTTGGCACCTGCCCAGGTCCTGTGGGTGCCCTGGCAGGCGTAGGCGTAGGGAGCCTGCCGGCAGCTTTCACTTTCAGCAGAGACTCAGGCCCCACCAAGCCAGTGGGGGTTCAGGGCGGGGTTCAGGGCCACCTCCAGGGCCATCTAGGTCACCCTGGCAGAGCTGGGAGGGAAAGCGGGTTCTTGTAGGACAGTGCCCAGGACAGACAGCCATGGCCCAGCCCCACCGCCCCCGGGCTCCCTTGGGCTGGTGCCATGTCTCTGCATGGCCCTCAGCCTGCAGGAGCTGCCCGAGCTGGCGCTGAGCGAGGAGGTGGTGGGTGGCATCGCTGCCGGCGTGGAGGCAGCCCTGTTCGACCTGACCCAGGGCACCCAGGGCCGCTACAAGGCCAAGTACCGCAGCCTGCTCTTCAACCTGCGCGACCCCCGGAACCCGGTGAGCGCGAGCGGGGTGCGCGCAGAGCCCGCAGGTGCCGGACAGGGCGGCCTGGTGAGCAGCTCCTGCCCCTACCCTGCCCCCAGGACCTGTTTCTCAAAGTGCTTCATGGGGACGTCACCCCCCACGACCTGGTGCGGATGCCGTCCACACAGCTGGCGCCCCAGGAGCTGGCCCGCTGGCGGGACCAC